ATTGGTACTGTGCTCATCTTACAGCTCTGCAGTTTGGACTCCCCAGCACAGAATGATCAGTGCCTTTGAAAAATTAAAACCCTCTACCACAGCCTGGTGCACCCTAATCAACAGGTTGGTGACTCAGTCACTGGATGTGAGTAAACTAGCTGATGGTTTCTCCCAGAGAAACGAAAGTTATCTTGCCTCAGGAGAAGGGCGGGGAAAGGGGCAGCAGAGAAGAGACCAGCCAGCAGATCCCTTCGCTTGCAGGCTGATTTTGTGCCTAGGGAGAGGGCAGGGGCGGCAGGTTTGTAGAAATTTTGGTGGTGCCCAGAATGCCCAGAGCCTGCCTCCCCAACCTGCCTAAGGCTCTGGGAGGGAGTTTGGGTGTGGGGAGGAGGTCTGGGGTGCAGGCCCTGGGCTGGGGATTGGGGTGCAAGAGGGGTGCAGGCTCTGGGATGGACGTTGGGTGCTGGGTTCAGGCTCCAGGCTGGGGCAGGGGGTGAGGGGTGCAGGCTCTGGGATGGGATGTGGGGGGGTGTGGTAAGGGGGAGGAGGTGCAGGCTTTAGGAGCGAGTTTGGGGGCAGGAGAGGGTGTTTGGGAAGGGGTGGGGGGATGCAGGCTCTGGGAGGGAGTTTGGGGACAGGAGGGGGTGCGGTGATTACCTGGGGCGCCTAAGCAAGGTGGGTCAGGGGTCTCCATGCACTACCCCCCCCCCCCCAGGCACTGCCCCCGCAGCTTCCCATTGGCCACAGGGGCACTTGGGGTGGGAGCAGCAGGGAGACCCAGACCCCTGCCCCAGGCCGGCAGCCGGGTGGAGCGAGCAGGCAACAGCTGCTCCGCTCTGGACCGGTGGTGGGTGGGGGCCCCGGGCCGTTTTAAATCGCGCAGGGGGGAGACCCGGCCTCAGACAGTGCTGGAGCCAGGCCGGGCCAGGGATATTCCTGCTGCCCAGGCACAGAGAATTCCCCACCTATGGGAGAGGGGTGTGTAAAGAATGGGCCATTCTTCAGGGTGAACAGTTATTACCTTGTTAGTTGCTATTTTCTTCCATGGAGCATTCTGGGAAAGGCAGCCAGGTTAGGGAGGACAGAGGAGAGATTGATCGAGCCCACTGCATACACCAGGGAAGGCTGGCCTTGTGGAGAAGGCATTTTTTCTGGGAGCTAAGGGTCATATGCCCAACTCTGTCAATTATTCACAGTGTGATCTTGGGCAAGTCCCTTTGCCTTTGTGCCTCAGTTTCCTACTTGTACACCAGGGACATGGTACTTCCCTGCCCCAGAAAGAGTTGGGGGTGTGGATAAGGCTCAGATACTACTGGAAGACTGTAAAATATTCAGATTTCTAGGCAAACTATTGTAGGTTCCCGTGCATTGGGTGTAATGCCATTTATTCCTTTGCAGGAGTCACTGGAGGAAAAGTCTTTAAGGGAGAACTGTAAACTCCCAGTAAGTGGGAGAGGGCCGGTGGGCTCATGGGTCAGCCAAGGGCATGATTTAGAGAGGCTCTGTTGCTGAAGGTTTGTTATGACCATGTCTCTCCATAAACTGGCTTGTGTGTAACTGACTCACTCTTGTAGGTGTGGTTTTGGGTTTAATTCGGGTTATGACTGATTAGCACTAGCCCTTTCCTCTCCCTCGCTGCCTCTGAGATTTCCCTCTAGTGCAGCTCCCCCAGCAGTGGCAATGGTAAGACAGGGATCCAGGTGGTTCCTAGCACTACCGCTGAAAGCTGTTCTGAGAAATTTTCTCACAACACGAGCCTGCTGGAACAGAACCTTACTGTACAGGAAGCAGGACTAACTTCTGACAGCCCCAGAATGACCCAACCCAGGTTACTGTCCTCAAAGTGCACAGCACGGGCATTCATCTACTTGCTTAGAAAGGGAATACTTGGGCGGGGGTTTATGGGACCATCAGAGCAATGCAAGGAAGGAATGCTGAGCGTTAATGGGTTCACTGAGAACACTTTGTAGTTCAGCACCTTCCACCCAACCATCTCAACTGTTTTGCTAACATTGTGACAACGGAGACACTGGCCTACCATTTATGCAAACATCTTTACCTTTGTCCTCCCCACTCGCATATGGTTTACTCAACTGCTGCATATTGTCTCAGTCTAAGGCTTTGCCTATTTTACAAGTGGCACCAGTTTAACTAACAAAGGATTTTGGACTTGTCTACCTAAGGAGTTGTTCGTGATTAACTCCATGTGTGGATACCCTTATTCTGGAACAAAAGTGCTTTTTGTTCCTGTTTAGCTTAACCCACTTATGCTTTCAAAGACTGTCCACACATGGAATTCTTCAGGAACAGCGACTGCACTTTAAATTCACACCCTACCTTACTCCTCATTAACTTTCAAGTGTAGACAAGCCCCTAGTACATAAAGTAGTGCAAACCTCCTCTATGGAGACTTTTACATCAATTTAAATGTGGGTTATACTGAATTAGAACAAGCAGATTTCTTACAATCCTTAATTAAATCAGTTACACCAGTTTTTCTATTTTTTTTTAAATCAATTCTAGTTAAGCTGGTAACACTGACAAGGCCCTAGCTTGTGAGCTCACTAGTACAGGGAGGATCTGTTGCTTATTTGAACAGTGCATTGTCCAGTGAGATTTTGATCAGGTCCTTAGATGCTACTGCAATAAGATGATTGAGCGTCAATATACCCCTCTGAGATCGTTGGTAAGCTTCCATTGTTTGTTTTAAAAATTAGGGAAATGGAGGCAGAACAAGGAAACAGTTTACCCAAAGTCACCCAGGAGAGCAGTGGCAGAGCTAGGAACAGAACCCAGAACTCTTGCTCACAGCTCTGTGCACACACTCAAGTTACTGTCAATCAAATTTTGTTAGAGATGACAAGGTGGGTGAGGTAATAATGTATTTTATTGTGGTGGTGCCCAACTTTATTACAAAGGTGGGCCACATAAACCTAAGCACAACCTTGTGTGGGTCAAACAGATTATCTATCAGGGGCTGACAGCCCGAACCCTGCTGTGGGTCTTATGAAATGCTCTGGTGGACCCTGTATGGCCCACGGGCTGTAGGTTGGGCACCCCCTATTTTATTGGGCCAACTTCAGTTGATGAAAGAGACAAGCTTTCCCAGCATCCTACTATATATTGGGTTGGCATACATTCTTAAAGTGCAATACATTAAGGCTTATACTGAAAAGGGAAAGAGGATTAGAAAATACTGTGCACATATAACCTGACTGAGTTAATGGCACAATTTTAATCTTTTGGAATTCCCTGACACAGACGTTTGATCTTGAAACATTAATGTGGTGGGTATCTTCACATGTAGTTTGAAGGTTATTTAAAAGGGAAAATCTGGAGGTAACCGACTTATACAATTCACTTGCACTGGATATGCCAGCAGACCTTAAAACAACCAATTAGTGTGCAGATACGCACAATGTGTATTATTCCTATTTGTACCATAATGTATCTGACAGAACCCTGATTGTTCCCAGGAGTTAGCTATAGCCATGATACACTAGCACATGAGTTATTGAGAGTTCGGTGGATACCATATAACATATCAAGGTACTACAGGGACAGACGGTATAAGCCCCAGGTGCAATATTGGAATAGGTGAGGTTGTTTTGCAGTCCTCACAGGCACATGAATATTGCAGCTTTCAGTTCAGGACTCCAATTCTAAGCTGGTTTATATGAGATGGTGGAAAGATTGTGGTAGCCTAGTGTATAGTACTGCTCACACTGTTGCTACCCCAAACTACTCGTGTTAGGATATGCATCATTACAGCAGGATGCAGAGCGGAGTTCCTGTAGCAGTTAGCTGTATTTTCATTAGGCATAAATATCAGATCCTAAAGGACAGACACGAGTAGCTTTAGAACAAAGACTGGTGTATTTCTACCGGAGTAGATGACACACAGGATGTGTGAGGGATGAATGCATGGATATTCTGAATGGCAAATACAAATATATTTTATTCTGACAAAACTTCTCACAAAGAATGGGACACCGACACTCTTATTTTGTGGTATTGCGGAGCAAAACTGATGTTTAATGCACAACCCGCCACTTTTTCTTTGCATTTTTAAAAATAGGAAGACCCCAGCCAGTTTAAAAAAAGACCTCAGGAAAGGGGTAAGGACAACAAAGTGTAAACGAAGCAGAGTGAATTAGCTGCACAGAGTTCATTTAGCAGTGCATCCACGTTCTGGTTTCTTAGGCCATGTCTACACTAGCTAGCGTACCAATTGAGCTGTGCCACTTAAGATCGCTCGGGTAGCCGCTCTATGCCGATGGGAAAGAGCTCTCCTGTCAACATAATTAAACTACCTCAAACAAGCGGCGCTAGCTACATTGGCGGGAGAGCATCTCCAGCCAACATAGCGTTATCCACACAGGCGCTTCTGTCGGGGTAACTTATGTAGCTCAGGGTGTGGTTTTATTCACACCCATGAGTGACATCAGTTATACTGACAAAAGTGCTAGTGTAGACATGGCCTTAGAGAGAGAAAATGTACTTCTCTCTTTCAGGGGAAGCTGCTTCTCAATCACTCAGCTGTTTTCTGTGCTATGAAAAATGGTATAATTTAGAGCAAGTTTTCAAAAGCAGATATTAATCCCAGTGTTCCAAGTATAACAAGAAACTGGCCCCAACAGAAAGAGACCAAGATTGCGAGTGATTTTTTCTCTCACTTCGGTGCAAATCTTTTATTTATCATTTAATACACCATCCATTCATACACCTGTGGTACAAACTCTAGGAACCAGCCACAAAGCATTAAAGCACAACATACCTACTATTCCTTAGACATTTGCATTTTTAACTCTACTATTTAATCTCCAACCAGACAAAATGTCTCAGCAGTCACAATACTAACAAACTTAACAATACTAAAAAAAAAAGAAAGAGAACTAACTGGATTAGCTGTTCTGTAAAAATGCAGATGTCTATTAACCACACTTCCAGGGAAAAGAAAAGACCAAAAAAAAAAAAGAAAAAGGTTACACTTAGAGGGAACGATGGAATACTTTAGGGTTTAAAAAAATTAAACTTACACAAGAAAATACTGGTCCTTCTTGAGATTTCTGTAAGGGATCATGTAAACTCATTTCAGATATTAAAATCTAAGCCTGTAGGCCCATTGCTATGTAGAGATCGCCAGCAGGCATGTGTGGGAGATGCGTCTTCTCTGGCATTTGTTACAGTTTGCAGCGCAGCAGCTTGAGCTGTTACCAGGTCTGACAAACTTACTGAAGTACCTGCAGTGCTGTACAAGGGTGCAGGGAAAATACTCCCAACACCAACTGCCTGTATTTATAAAAGGGCTTTCAGGGCTAGGAAATTTTCCAACCAGTAATTACAGTGACTCCCAAACAGAGCTATATCATCGAACCATGAATGTGGTTTAATTCAAATGACCTACCAGTAAATGCAGTAACAGGAAGTTTATACGGTAGGGAACACAAAACACAAAGACAATGCTATTTGTTCAATAGTTCTCCTTGAGGCAAGAAAACTTGTTAACTTTGAAAGCCCTAGCAAAATGCCACACTGGTTTGGAAACCACCTACTTGGCATATGACCACATTTTAGTTTTTTTGTACGCTACCATTTCATCAATCTCATCAGTTCTGCCTTAAGCATTTTGCATTTCTTTTCCAATCTTGTAGCTGAGGATTTTGTTCCAGTCAATCTTGGTGCGAGTGACGGGCAGCTGCCGACGCAAGGCTTTGAACGTGGTGTCGGACATAGTCTGATAGTTTTCACTGATTGCCGTCTGCAAGAGCAACCACATTGAAAGTGTTTGTCTAAACTACAGCAGGAGGATGGATGCTTTCAAAACGCATTATTCAGTATTAAAGCCAGACATGCTACTTACCAACTAACTGATAAAGCAAATTTAGCGGGGGAGTGTGTGTATGTTGAGAAACGGTCTCTCTTGCCTTCTCCTTCCCAAGTGAATTTATTTGCAAAAGGCCTTCTGGTAAGGCCCCTTCTTACACACAGAACAAGCATTGCATGGGAAGCTCTAGCAGACCTTTCCTTAGCAAAGGCTCTTAGTCACAGGGAAGTGGAGAGGAGAGTTCAGGCTCCCTGGCCTTTCTGCTGAGCTTGCCAACAGCTGTACGCAGTGTGATCTTCTCATGAATTGGAATTAGTGACTTTGCACCTTCCAGGCCCCACTGGTTTTCTTGTTAATGTCCTTTAAAGGGACTTGCCATACTGCTGACTTTATTTAATTTGTTTTTAAACACTTATATAGCCCCATAACTGTGCCTGGTGGCTTACAGATAAACTACTGTCCCTGCTCCAAAGAATTTACAATCAAAATCAGATAAACTGATTATGAAACTAGAAAAAGAAGGTAGAGAAGAAAGGACAAGGGGTGGAACAAAACTAGAGCATTAATCTCATGTTCTGATTGTTTGTAAATAGAGGGAAGTATCTTTTAAAATATTCATGAAAGTAAACAAGCCTAATGGAATCACAGGGATCCCTGCTAAATTCTCTTACCTGATACTCATTTTCCGCATGTTCTATGATTTTAATAAATTCCTTGGCTGTTTGGACGTCATTCTACAGAGTAAGAGGAACAAAATTTACTTTCAAGTTCAATCAAAAGGCTGAATATAAAAATGTATTAAATGGGTTTCCTTCTAGAATGAAATTCTGTAACTACTTAGCTCATCAGCGATTAGGGAAAGACAAAGCGGACAGTTTCAGGCCTACATCGGGCCAGTACCCATTAGCAACTGTGCTGCTGCTTGGCAGGGAACAGACGTAAGTGAAGCTGACATTAAACACACTATCCAGTACAAAGTGAAAGACAGGGCTGCCCTCTAGTGAGCAAAAGTGAACTGGGCGTTCTTGATACAGAACAGACTTGTGAGCAGATACTACTGCCCCCCTTTTGTCGGTACAAAACTGTTACCTTCTCTTCAGCACTGGGGAGAGGACACCCAAGCACTTGTTGCAACTACATTTGCCTGGCCTTGGTGCTGAAGGATCAAGATTTTTCAGAAACATGCTGCTGTATTTGGGTTCAAATTCTCCCTTTTCCTCCCACAGGGAAGAGAAGGCAACTGGTTTCCCCCATGGCATACGTGACCCCTACTCTAAATGTGAAGAGCATACAACTAACACCCTGCAGCATGCCTCTCGCTACAGTATTTAGTCTACAAGCAGTGTAAGAAGCTGGGTTTCCCACAGGCCACTGCATGTGTTGCTGCTGCATTGACTGGTCAGCCTATAATTTGATCAAAAGCCTTTACAGTAAGTGACACAAGGGAGGGGAAGGGATCGCTCAGTGGTTTGAGCATTGGCCTGCTAAACCCAGGGTTGTGAGTTCAATCCTTGAGGGGGCCATTAGGGATTTGGGGCAAAAATCTGTCTGGGGATTGGTCCTGCTTTGAGCAGGGGGTTGGACTAGATGACCTCCTGAGGTCCCTTCCAACCCTGATATTCTATGAAGAGTAGAGTCATATTAGAGAGCAAAGCTGCCCTTGGGGACATAAACCAACACAAAAGAGCTGCTGAAATGTTGTAAATTCTCCATACTCACTGAAACCGTTAGAGAGTCTTGGATATCTTTATGGCTAACTAGCTGCACGTTGCCATCTTCATAGTAATGAACCTGCACAAAGAAAGAACAAGCCCGGTTTATAATTAACATTATATTGTGGTAATACCTAGAGGCCCCCAATCGAGCCAGACCCCCATTATGCTAGGCGCTGTCCACAGACACGGCCAAAGACCAGGAGAAACGCACAACACTGTTGTGACAGTTTTCTCAGCCTGCAGTGGAGACTAAGGCTGGCTGGATTTTCCAAGGGATTTTATTCTCAGCCAGGA